GTGCGAAAACCACTAAATCGAGTACTTGGACCAAAATGGCCGACTTCCTGTGCGACTTTGCACTTGGCTCCAAAATACTTTTTTGTAGGTCCTGAGACACCACATTAGTGTACCAAATCTCATACTCCTCAGTCAAAGCATGGCTTGGGGCTGACAGTTTTAATGGTCCTAGGGGGCGCTATTTCAGAAAATAGGCCACGCCCACCAGATGTTCACATCAGATTCTTTTGGGGGCCGGACTAGGATCACTCCCAAGAAGTGTCGTGGCGATATCTCTAGAAATGACGAAATGGGAGGCAAACGTAAGGCCTAAGTGGTACGCCTGACTTCGCCGCGCCGCCACTGCCCCGCCTTCTGCAGAAAACACCCATAAAGTGACGCCAAGCAACGCCACCTTCTCTTCAGTTAACTGCTACAAATTTGGGCTGATTATTCGAAAGGGCAAATTTTGGAAAATTTCCCAGTAAAACTTGACCTTTTAAGTCCTGAGGGGGCGGGGCTTGTGTGACATCATCAATCGACCATTCATTTGTCTTCGGGGGGTGATGACAATTATCCATAGAAAGTTACTTTAACTCTAATTCTTTCATTTATGAAATTATAGCAATTTGAATTTTTTTGGCGAGTGCTCGAACTTTGAGGTCTGGTCCCGCCCCTTCAGTATTTACGAAAAGTCAATTTTATTTTCTCATTTGAACCGTCCATCGCTTCTGTTCGATAGTACACTATTTTTGAGACAATCGTGCGAAAAATGACCAAACTGTTCAACCAAATGTAGACCATAGAAATGGCCAAAACGGCTAAAAATCTCCATTTTAACCCAAAATGGCCGACTTCCTGTTTGATATTGACCATGGTTGCAAGAGACTTTTCTGTGCGGACTGTTGAGTACTACAAGTAAACCAAATTTCATAACTGTACGATAAACTAAGCTTTATGGAGAGGGGTATTTTTCACTTTCTAGAGGGCGCTGTTCAGCCACTTTTTTATGAACTTTCACATCGCCAGTGAAATACGTAAATTTCACGCACTTTCTATATTGGGCCAGAATTTGGTGACTTTTTGGATATGCTAAGACCCCCTAAAGGCCACCCAAAGACGCGGAAGAAAAAAAAAATAATAATAATAATAATAATAAATAATAATAATAATAAACGGAGCAGATACAATAGGCCTTCGCAGCTTCACTGCTCGGGCCTAATTAAAGCTGCAAGCAGCGTCGTTCGGCCCTCGCAGCGAAGCTGCTCGCCCTCCTTCTGCACCCCCTCCGCTCCATCCCCGACGCTCTCCAAACCCGGCTCCGCGCTTTTCCATCCTGGCCGGCAGCCGAGGGCACCAGGGCATGCCTGGCGGAACAGAAAGTCAGCCACCCCGACACCGGAAACAGTAAAAGGCCTCCTCGTCCACACCTCACCCTGACTCAGCATCCCTTCTGAGCCCACCATTACATGTCTCACCACTAGGAGATACTCTATCTTTACCACACTGGTGATGTGATGTTCAGTCTCGGGCAAATCGGAGGCTGTTTGTGGAAGTTACAGTCAAACGTAAGGTCACAGCGTCACGCCAGAAATCGCCATGGCATCAAAGCCCCTCACTTTCTAAAAAGCTATCAGATCTGAATGGTCATTACAACATCATGAAGACAGTGCATGACCTTAGTGTCATCTTGACTAAATTAGAGGGGACAAATATGGGCAGTTCACCATAAAACAATAGACTTCCTGTAGTCAGGGGGCGGGGCTTAGGTGATGTCAGCTGTCCACATTGTCACTGTCTTCAGATGTGGTCAGTGATCACATAGACAAAGTATGAAATTGATCTGATCATGCACATGGGAGTTGTTAAGTCAAATAAGGTAATGGCGACTGGTCAAAGTTTGAGGCTTAGCCACGCCCACACCTTTATACTTATTTAAAATCCGACGGTTGAATTTTTTCCTCTATGTCCTAAGAGTATATAGCAGAAGTTTGAAGGTGATCGGTGGAAAGGGCGAGGAGATATCATTCTCCTAATAACGTGTGCGAAAAACACTAAATTGAGTACTTGGACCAAAATGGCCGACCTCCTGTAGGACATTGCTCTTGGCTCCAAGAGACTTTTTTGTAGGTCCTGATACACTACATTAGTGTGCCAAATTTTGTGATCCTCAGTCAAAGCATGGCTTGGGGCTGACTGTTTTAATGGTCCTAGGGGGCGGTGTTTCAGAAAATAGGTCACGCCCACAAACTTCAGCTGTCCAATTCTATTAGGGGTCAGAGTAGGATCACTCTTCAGAACTTGTGTGGCGATGTCACAATGACTGAAGAAATGAGAGACAAACGTATTTCCATGGCGTGATGGCAAATTTCGCCATGCTCCCAAAGCCCCGCCTTTATTCGAAACCTGCCAGTACTATAAACCAAGTGACCTCAACTTGTCTGCTGCTATTTGCCAGTGTTTGCTGGTGATTGGTTAAAAGGAGTCCAATAGGGAGCTGTGAAAATAAGAGTGGCGTGGCGACAGGTCAAAGTTTGAGGCTTAGCCACGCCCACATCTTTATACTTATTTAAAATCCGACGGTTGAATTTTTTCATCTATGTCTTAAGAGTGTATAGCAGATGTTTGAAGGTGATTGTTGAAAAGGGTGATGGGGAATCCTTATCCAAACAATGTGTGCGAAAACCACTAAATCGAGTACTTGGACCAAAATGGCCGACTTCCTGTGCGACTTTGCTCTTGGCTCCAAGGGACTTTTTTGTAGGGCCTGAGACACCACATTAGTGTACCAATTTTCGTACTCCTCAGTCAAAGCATGGCTTGTGGCTGGCAGTTTTATTGTTCCTAGGGGGCGCTATTTCAGAAAATAGGCCACGCCCACAAATTACAGCTGTCCAGTTCTATTGGGGGTCAGACTAGGAACACTCACCAGACATTTTGTGGCAATGGCACGATAATTGAAGAAATGAGAGGCAAACTTATTGCCATGGCGTGATGGCGAATTTCGCCATGCTCCCAAAGCCCCGCCTTTATTCGAAACCTGCCAGGACTAAAGACCAAGTGTCCTCAACTTGTCTGCTGCTATTTGCCAGTGATTGCTGGCGATTGGTTAAAAGGAGTCCAATAGGGAGCTGTGAAAAACAGAGTGGCGTGGCGACAGGTCAAAGTTTGAGGCTTAGCCACCCCCACACCTTTATAATTATTTAAAATCCGACGGTTGAATTTTTTCCTTTATGTCTTAAGAGTGTATAGCAGAAGTTTGAAGGCGATTGGTGAAAAGGGCGATGGAGCATCACTCTCCAAACAACGTGTGCGAAAACCACTAAATCGAGTACTTGGACCAAAATGGCCGACTTCCTGTGCGACTTTGCACTTGGCTCCAAGAGACTTTTTTGTAGGTCCTGAGACACCACATTAGGAAACCAAATTTCGTACTCCTCAGTCAAAGCATGACTTGGGGCTGACAGTTTTAATGGTCCTAGGGGGCGCTATTTCAGAAAATAGGCCACGCCCACTGGATGTTCACATCACATTTTGTGGGGGGCCGAACTAGGATCACTCCCAAGAGGTTTTGTGGCGATACCTCTAGAAATGACGAAATGGGAGGCAAACGTAAGGCCACATCGGTACGCCTGACTTTGCCGCGCCGCCACAGCCCCGCCTTCTGCAGAAAACTCCCATAAAGTGATGCCAAGCAACCCCAACTTGTCTTCAGTTACCTGCTACAAATTTGGGGTGATTAGTTGAAAGGGCGAATTTTGGAAAATTTCCCAGTAAAACTTGACCTTTTAAGGCCTGAGGGGGCGGTGCTTATGTGACATCATCAATCGACCATTCATTTGTCTTTGGGGGGCGATGCCGATTGTCCATAGATAATTACTTTAACTGTAATTCTTTCATTTATGAAATTAAAGCAATTTGAATTTTTTTGGCGAGTGCTTGAACTTTGAGGCTTGGCCCCGCCCCTTCAGTATTTACGAAAAGTCAATTTTATTTGCTCATTTGATTCATCCATCGCTTCTGTTCGATCGCACACTATTTTTGAGACAATCGTGCGAAAAATGACCAAACTGTTCAACCAAATGTAGACCCTAGAAATGGCCAAAACGGGGTCAAAATGGCCACTTTAGTCCAAAATGGCCGACTTCCTGTTTGATATTGACCATGGGTGCAAGAGGCTTTTCTGTGCGTATTGTTGAGTTCTACAAGTGTACCAAATTTCATCGTTCTACTATGAAAAAAGGTCAAAGCAGAGGGGTATTTTTAATTTTCTAGGGGGCGCTGTCGAAACATTTTTGTACCAACGTTCACGTTGCCAGTGAAATACGTAAATTTCACGCACTTTCTATATTGGGCCAGAATTTGGTGAGTTTTTGGATATGCTAAGACCCCCTAAAGGCCACCCAAAGACGCGGAAGAAAAAGAAAAAAAAAAAAGAAAAAAAAAAAAGAATAAACGGAGCAGATACAATAGGCCTTCGCAGCTTCACTGCTCGGGCCTAATAATAATAATAAGAAGAAACGGAGCAGATACAATAGGCCTTCGCAGCTTCACTGCTCGGGCCTAAATAAACAGAGCAAAAACAAGAGGCCTTCGCAGCGCTTTCGCTGCTCGGGCCTAATAATAAACAGAGCAAAAACAAGAGGCCTTCGCAGCGCTTTCGCTGCTCGGGCCTAATAATAAACAGAGCAAAAACAAGAGGCCTTCGCAGCGCTTTGCTGCTCGGGCCTAATCAGAGCAAAAACAAGAGGCCTTCGCAGCGCTTTCGCTGCTCGGGCCTAATAAACTTCCTGTTTAATTACAATAACTAAACAGTCTCCCCGTACCTTACCCTACCTTCAGGTGGTGAAAAATGAACACGTTCATATTAAACTTGAGTGAACCGTTACCCCGGTTAGATGCGATTACATTTCGCGCTTTGCATTGTGGGAAATGTAGTAGTTTTACGTTCTTAGATTGCGTTGGGCCACTGCTGGAACGGTTGTTTTTAAACTACAACTCCCAGCGTCTTTCGCGCCTCAGAGCGTGACATACGCGTGTGAATTGACCATGGCGTTGTGTAGCTGTGTGTGACCTGTCAGGCAGGCCATCATCACCAAACAGCTCCGGAAGACGCGTCAGCGCACCGAGACCTGCTGCCAGCGCCGCCGGGGCGACAGATTTAACGATGGGCTCCCGAATCAAGTAAGCCTGTTGGTCCGCTGCTTTTGGCGGGCTGCCTGCTGCTGGCTGCTGTTAGCTTTGATCCACTAGAGTCTAACAAGGCCCGGACTTGTTGCGAGACTGGATGGGTGACACACCACCGAGGCTCCTGGAGTCGCGGACCGGAGAAGCACCCTTCTGCCCACCCGTCTGCTCAGGGTGGCAGTGTGGCGTTCAGGTGACTCCTCACAGGAGGAGCAGAGCAGTAGCACCTCCGTTTGGGATCATAACAACAACACTGACCATTTTATGGTAGATGGGTTTCAGGATGAAGGCGTGAGTTTATGTCACAGTAGAGTCTTCCTTCTACACCTGTCTTACTTTAGCTGCTTGTCTCGCAGATCTCTAGTGAAAGTGTCTTTCTGACGGCGAAGTTAGACAGGAGGCTGGTTTGAGTCATTTTCATGCTGTGAGAACAGGTCCTGGTCTTGGTTTCAGAAGCGTTATTCTGTGCTCTTGGTTCGGAGGAAGAAAAGTGAAAAATTCATCTTGAATTCCTTCGTCTAATTCAGGTCACACCGTTTAAAGATTCAGCTGCAAACAAGGCAGGCTTGTTAGAGGCAAATGAGAAAAACTGCTGAAACTAATAATACGAATTGGTATGCGGATAAACCATGAATATAAACTCGTCTGGACCTGGTCTTCACCAGGTTCTACGTGGTTCTGATCTGGTCTCCAATCTAGAAAACACCCAGCAGATTCACCATGTTGTTATTGTTTATTAAACAGGAAGAAATGGTTGGATTTAATGGGATGGAGAGAGAATGCTGCTGTTCTGATGTGATGTATATCTAACGGTGTTGCACTGTTTAAGCAGACTGGTTCTAGTGTGGTTATAGGTCCCATCTGCTGTGGTTCTTTGTAAAAATCTGTGTTTTTCAGCATGTTGTCTCCTGAGAGCAGTGTGAAGGTCCTGCTTTGGAAAAGTCTGGTTACACTCGATCAAAAGGGTGTGATCATTTTTGGTTCCTACCTCCATCCAAACATTACTAATACAGAATGATAAACCGCCTCTCTGATATCTATAGTGGCTCCTGTGCTTGGAAGCCTCACCTCTGTCAGTACACCGCAAGGCAGCTGTGGCTAAATTGTAGCTCGTCATGAATGGACGAATGATACACTGTAGTGTAAGGAACTTTAGAATCTCTGACTCAGGGTCATAAATAAAGTGGGATTTGTCTTTAAAACTCCTTAAAAACACAAATATTCATGAGAGATCATTTCTTATCTTCTGTTCCAGGGAGAGTCCTGAGGCCACGTTCGAGTTGTACGTGGAGGTGGTCCAGCCAGGCAAGCACAGCTCCGGTAAGTCAGGATGTTTGGACATAACATCATAATAAACTCTAATTCGGAATAGTTAGCGTCACTGTAATATGTGTTGTTGTCAGCAGGGAGCTTCTGTTTTAGATGGTTTCATGTTTCTCTCTTGTCGTGTATAATTCAGCGTGGAACGTATTTAATACAAACACAAGCATAACCATGGACGTAATTTTCACTTTAGAAGTGGGGGGGACACGGGGGCTATCTTCACGGTATGCTCTAATGGGAAACAGGCTTCAACAAAAACAATTGTTTTCCACTTGGTCCTAGAGCTCAACCAGTGTCAAATTAATATAGCGTAATATTGTTTTTGGATGGTAAAAAGTGCAGGGGTCAAAACATGACTTTGGAAAAAGTGGGGGGGACATGTCCCCCCTGTTCCCCCCCCCAAATTACGTCCATGAGCATAACGGACTACAGCTCCCTTACCTGCATCAGCTTCTAAAACAGCATACATTTGATTGAAATTGGGATTTTACAGGTATTGAAATGTGTGGAAAGTTGGAGGATAGCTGAGGATAGAGGTTGACCGATATTGGTTTTTCTTTTGACGATACCGATGCAGATATGTAGTGGTCTGCTGATATGTATGGCCCATTTTCATGGCTGATATCCAGACATTTTCCGCCTTATTTTCATTCTAAAATGTCACTAATAACATCAGTTGATGCACAAAATTTCTGAAGCTGATTCAGTTTTTGAATTCTGAATTTAACTGGCTGTTAAATCTTAACTTTGTGCACTATTAATTGAGAGTATTTATTATGCAGATGTTTAAATTAAATTATGCAGCAGCACCAGATTGCCCAGAGATGTGCTTGACTTTAAATTGGCTTTAATAAGGACAAATATCGACCGATGCTGTTATATATAAAAAAAAACGGTAAATATTGTCCCAGTTATTGGTCTAATCCTAGTTGAGAAGAATCGGTGCAGGTTTGTTCTGACTGATGATTAAAGCTGAAGTTCTAGTTAAACATCTTTGATGTGAAAGTCAGAGCCTTGACCAGCTGAAGAATAAACATTTGGACTTTACTTGTTCAGACATCAGACAGGTGTTCTGGTAAAATCAGAGTTGGAGCAGCTGAAGCATGTAGGCCAGTGGCCCTCCAGGAGGGAGACACCTGTTAGTGAGCAGCTCCATCTAAAGGCGATAAGTGAGGGGTTTGAAAAGGAAAAACTAGCATATCTCATTGTTTTGGGCTTCTTTTATTGTGCAACTACTTTCCTGTGTACTGGGCCGAGCTTATGTTTCTAAAGTCCTTCCTATTGGTGTCTTGAGCTTGTCATAACCTGTCATCACTTCCTGTCGATTCATGAGTCTCCATCTCTGTTTTAACACTGTTCCACTGTTGGAAACAAACATAATAATTTACCACCATTCAAATGTTTTATTATTTTTAATTAAATTCAGAAACCCTACAGTGCTTGGTGAAGTTTGACCTTTGACCTGACCCATCAGTTGACTGAAGTTTGTTCTCCTCTTACAGAGGTGGAGGTCCAGAAGCAATACCCTGAAGACTACACCGACCAGGTCTGAAGCAGCACGGTCACATCGATCCTTCCAGCCCCATTCTCCTAAATCATTCACACATTTAAGGGCTACTGCGGCGAGTGACTCTGCTGTACACCCATTTGCTTTGGTCGCTGTTGTAAATGTGTTAATATAAGCTGTGATTTATTTCTGCTCTCCCTTTTACTCTGATTGTGTTCAACAGCAGCAGAATGACTCTTAACTCTCGTCTGTCTCACAGGAAACACTTCTTACTGTGCCAAAGTTCTGCTTCCCCTTCAGCATGGACAGGTACACACACACACACACACACACACACACACACACACACACACACACACACACACACACACACACACACGGACAGTTTATTTTTTTAACAGAAGCATGACGTTTTACAGATCTTACTCTAAACGTCAAACTCTCTTTGTGTGTAATCCCTCTGAAAGTCAGTTTTCATATTTTTGTTATGAAATCCGAAGCTGAGTTGTTCTGAAAGTCAGGTTGGTCGCTTTTCCCAGACTGTTGTGTTGACATTTTCTGTGACACCTTGAGGTCAAATCTGACGCCGATTGATGATTCCCTTTGACCTTAATCGTGATTTGGTATAAATAGCATCTTTATGAGGTTGAATCATGGAGAAGCAAAAATGAATGGAGAATCTCACAAGTGAGAAAATCTTCCAGTCGGTTCAAAATCGTCAAAGAATTTAACAAATTCCTTGAGTTCAAACAGCAGGTCGGGTGTCTTGTTAGAAATAAAAACACAAAAAGCTGAAGATTTCTGGTGTTTTCAGGTACATCTGTGCTGTTTTTGACTCATGTCTGGTATAAAGGTCTTTCTGTTCCCACCTGGCCTTCTTTACCTTTCTCCCACTGCAGCCTGACAGTCAGCCAGGTGGGTCAGAACTTCACCTTTGTGTTGACGGACATCGAGAGTAAACAAAGATTTGGCTTCTGCCGCCTCTCCTCTGGGGCACACACCTGCTACTGCATTCTCAGGTGAGTCTTTATGTGAGTGTTCAGTCACTGATGCTTAGGGCTGGCCAGCATGGCGCCAGATCAGTGGGATAAATTGAACAGGTCACCTTGATGATGATAAATGACCTGTACGGAGGCAGGCAGAGGGAGCAGTGGTGGTGATAGATTTGGTCGAGGAGAAGCCTGTTCTCACAGAAATCCTTCAACGACCATTTGGCAACATTTTGGATTTGGTTGTTGCCGTTGACTTCTGCCGGCCACTACCTGCTTCCAGGGTCCGAAATTAACACTCGCCACTCGCCAAATGCGAGTAAATTGCTCCATTTGGCGAGTAAATTTTCGAGCTCTACCTGCCACCTGGCGAGTAAATGTTTGCACCAAATTAGTTATGTTTATCAGTCATCTTCCATGGATTTCTGATACTCCTCCCGCCTGCATGCAACTTAGTACGCGAAACGTGAGCGCCGCATCCAACGTCATTTCCACCTATCCCATTCAATCAGTTTATCAAGTTAGCTTCGTGTTAAAACTAGCGGTGAAATGTGGCGGTTTTTAACTGGAGTCAGCCAGCCTTCCAAAGGAAAACTCGTCGAACTGGAAGAAAAACCACCAGGACCAGTGGCAACCAGAAGATTTTGTGAAAAGTGGCGAACTGGAGATGGCGGAGTCGTGAGACAATGGCTACATTATGATGGCCACATAGCGTTGCTGCGTTTCACAGACAACTGTCCCTCGGCATTCTTCAAATATCCAAAAAATGCCCATACTTCCCACTTTGTCTTCTTTGAGGGATAATAAATGTCCCAAGTGCTGCCGTCTCCTCCTTTGGCCATTATTTCAGCTTTAGCTTAAAGAAAGTTTTGGTCGTAAACAAAGTGCGCATGTGCCGCCGGCAACTTCTAGCAGATGATACGGTGGCTGGTAAGGGTCACTGCGCCTACACCGCAGCGACGGTAATCCACCGAGATAATATATATATATTTTTTTAAACAAGACTGTTATTATTTATTGTCAACTTTTTTACCGGGGTTCACTGCTACACCTGTTACCGTGACAACCCTAGCCCTGACACACTTTCAGATACTCTCATGGTGCAGCTGTGTTCTCCAGAGATCAAGGACTATGACCCAAATGAGGCTGTAATGCTTTGGCACAAAGACGGTGTCAGAAGCAGGAGGCCAGACTTCATGGACAGAGAAAACAAGGTGTCTGACTAGATTTCAATGAAAGAGTTCATAAAAACATCTCTAAAAATAAATAAATAAATAAATAGTAAAAATGACAAAAGAGTTGTTTTCCTTATTAATTGATGTTTTAATTATTTTGTCACTCTGTTTGGAATCAACATAATATAGAATAACATGCTTTAGGTAGATCTAAATCATTTATAATTTTGGCCGGTAAAAAATATGCTTGGCCGGTAGATTTTCATCATCTACCGGCCAACTTGGCCGGTGAGTAAAAAATTTAATTTCGGACCCTGCCTGCTTCCCTCTCCCACTGCTTCAACATTTAAATCGTCCTCCATGTCCTTACTGCCTCTCCCTTCTTGTTACAGATCAGATGGGGAGGAGTCACATGACTACACAAAGTCTCGGGACTTCTCCCCATCCAGTTTGTAGCGCAGCATCTTAAAGGAACATAAACATCAGCAACCTACGCTCATATTTTAATGTTTTTATACCTAATACATGGGCAAAATGTCTGTAATAGACATCAATTTCTGTATCGATACATTTTTGGCCAGGTTTTGCTTGTTTTCTTAAAGTGACAAGAGTCCTGAAACAACTCATTGTGGAAGAATAAAGCTGTCGAGAGTAAAGCTGCTGAAATATCTATGTCTGAGAGGGATTTAGTGCTACGACTGAACATCGACTATTGAACTATTCTAATTTTTTTAAAGTGCCCCTTTTAAAGAAGTGAGGAGAGTTGAGCTCTTCTAAAATAATCCGGACCGAGTGTAACCTTTGACCCCTGGGCACTGAAGAGTAAACCTTTTATTGTAAAATAAAACCACGTGTTTTCTTCCTCCAGCTACCTGCCCTGGTTTGAAGTCTTTTACAAGCTGCTTAACATCCTTGCAGATTATGCCGTCAAAGGCCAGGTTAGTAATGACAGCTGGTAGCGTCAAATGTGCCTTGTTTGATTATTATCGTTGCACTGTAGTTCTTATGCAGGATGCTGCTTGCGTACGTTAGTCTGTTTGCTTGAGAACATGTTTCTTTAAGACCACTGCATTGATTTGGATTGCTGTCCTATTCCAGGAGAGCGAGTGGCAGGAGCTCCTGGTATCACTACACACACTCCCCATACCTGAGCCTGGAGTCCCTGTTCACCTCGGAGTGGTGAGTGATCCCAAGCAGCTGGACTTTCTTCTACCTGAAAATACGCTCTCCTTCTCACTGCTGGTTGCAGTTCTGATCTCCTCCCACCACAGAGTCACTCATCAGTATTATCTGTTCTGAAATAATCACCAGCTGAGTAAATAAGTCGAGTGTGTTTTTATTCTCTGTCTCTCTGATTTATGCAGACTTTCCTTGACTCCTATGTTTCCCCCTCCCCCAGCATTCTTTCTTCACTGTGCCTGATATGATGGAACTCCCCAGCATCCCAGAGAACGTGAGTGCTTTTGTTCAGTTCAAGTTCATTTTGTATTTGTGCGTGGGAAAGAAAACCTCAGACCATGCAGTATAAACAGCATCTAGTGGTGGAGGGAGGGAACTGCAGCACCGAAGGTCCACACATTAGTTTACCCAGTAAATAACGATGTCAGTGGAAATGGAGCTGTGTCACATAATTGGTGCTAAAATCTATTAATTACACCTGTGACCGACGGGACTCTGACATTGTAGCATGGCTGATCTTGTGTTATTGGAGGATTTGGTAGAGCGAGCACTTTGGAGGGAATGCGTCCTCTGTGAGCGCACTCAGCTGGTTCCTGAAGGAGATCTCTGCAGAGCTATGCTGTGATTTGGGATCCTTTGTGGAGCGACAGACAAACTGCACAAATCCCATTCTGCCCCATATTCCATTTTACAACTACAAGAACCCCCAGAACCTCCTCTGCTCCTTGACCACACACTCGTTGCCAAGGTAACCTGATGACTGACAGCTCAGAAGTGGCAGCGCTCTCAGACGTTTTCAGATAAAACTAACTCCAAACAGAACAACTCCTTAAATAAATGTAAATGACAGCCCGTTACTCTACGATTTATCATGTTCAATTTTACGTGGAAACATCTTTATTCCTGGCAGGGACCTCTCCTCGGTCCGGGACCGCATTTAGAACCTCCTCAACTTGTTTGGTTCTCTTGCACTTCAGCCAGTGTCTTGATCTTGCTAATACATTTTTTCTTTCGGGAGGAAGGCAGGGATTCCCTGCACAAACTGAGGACGTAGCACGGCCAAATATGGTTAATTGAGGGCATTTCTGTATGTAAGTGACTGAGAACAGACACGAGCACCTGGATACGCACAGGAGGGATTTATCAACAGACTTTTGTGGAGGAACGTGCGTACGAGGGGCCATCACATGTTTCAAGAATCCGGAGTTGGACTGTTTGTATAAATATTCTAAATTTGTTTGTACGGAAAATAGGAGTATTTCTATGAACGTTTGATGAATGAGGCCCCAGGGATTGTTTGTGTGTGAAGTCCAGGATTGGAATATTTCTGACAAAAGAACCTATTCTACAAACGATTTTAGCATATTTAGTGTGTCTTTATGCCATCTAGATCAAATCACTCTTAACATCAACCCCAGCATAGCTTTATTTAAAGAGCAAGTCACACCCCTACCAGAGTCGTACTCCACCTACTACGCCGGCAGTGACTGACTGCACCCCTATCCCACGCTCTGAGATTCTCTGTTGGAGAATTTAGCCGCTAACACACACACCCCACCTCAGGTGTACAAACAGCAACATGCTTCCTAGTCTGGAGGATTTCTCGCCAGCCCCTTCACCAGAGGAAAGGCAGGAAGGTTTTTTGGAGGAACCATATTGTTTTGTATGGGCTCTTGAGTTCCCCGAGGCCAGCTATGCCGTACCAGCTGGAGGCGTGGCCGAGAGTCGGCTGCTTTTATGCCCCACAGCGTTTGTGCAGCAGACGTCACAAATACCGGCTAACATATATCACTGCTCAGCTGAAAGTAATAGCTGCTTCGATTTCGAATGAAATGCAGACTTTTAACCTGAAGAGGGCCTCACACTGATGGTTTAGGCTGAATATTTTTATTTTAAATACGGTGCACTAAAATGACAAACTAATGGTTACGCATGACTACAGCACTAATAGACACTTTTTACAGTTTATCGGCAAAAAAAGTTGATTTTGGGGGCGACTTGTTCTTTAACTCCCTGAGGGGTCGTTTTTTTTTTTACAGCAGAAACGACAAACTCAAATATTAACATCATGTAGATTTGTTTGAACAATCACACAGTAATTTAAATTGATCCAGACAGCTGACATCTTGGTCTCTTTGAGTAGGAATGGTGATAATCATATTTCTCTGTTATCTCTGCGTCAGTAACTTAATACCGCTAAAACACAGTGTTACCATGACATCAGACATTCGGACTCCAAGCAGATTCTCTCTGGGATGTTGACTCACCAGAAGAATGAGGCTTGTGAACCTTTAGTTTAATTATTACCGCTACAAAACCTCTTTGTCATCATGAAATGATAAAATTATGATAAAGGATGTGATCAGTAAACATGCACAGACATCAAAACATCACTAGTGCTCCTTTGGATGAAAGGGAAGGTTCCTCCATAGCTCCTTATGTTCCTCATAATATAATAGAGAGGAAATGTGATATAATATAAAATAATAATTCAGGAAACCTATTTACTACAGCATCTAATTTCACTTTGGGATTGATAAAATATTTTTGATTTGAGTGATCTTGTTTATTGATACCTACAGATCTGATGGATTCTGACTCACTCTGAGCACCACAGTACCAGAACTCATGTTTCTCATAAAGACTAGAACATAGGTTGAGTGGTTAAGACATCACCATTTAAAATAAAACCTTCCATGACAGACTGGGTTGTAAACATGGTCTATTTGCAGCATTTAGGTCTACAGTCATGTTTTCTCTCATCTTTGCTTTTTCGTACAGAAATATCAGAAACATCAGGTACTTTGTGTAATCTGCACTTTTCTGAGTTAATCTTATAACTCTGTTTTTTGTTTTTGTAGAGAAACCTGACAGAGTACATTGTAGCCGTAGATGTCAATAACTTGCTTCATATATATGCCAGTATGCTTTATGAACGTCGAATCCTCATCTGCTGTAGCAAACTAAGCACTGTAAGTACACTCCACTTCTATTTGCTCTCCTTTTGCAGTCTTGTGACAAGTAGATGCACGAATGCAGGTTAGCTCGTTATGAATTGTCCCTTCCTTTACTCGGCGTACCTTCTGACATACGTAGCTCTGAGAGTAGAGTGTGTAAATGGTTTGATTTGGAAGGAGCTGGCTTAGTAGTGCATCCACCTGAGGGCAGCAGTGGAGTGTAATTTAGGCAGTTTAAAAACAGCGTCAGATGACTCTCCACACATCGCTATTTATTTCTGAAGCCTTTCAGTTATTTGGGTTTCATTCTACATGTGTGATAGATATGCATTAGCGTTACCACTCAACAGCCATGCCCAGTAGATTTCTGCTTTTACTGGTTTTAGATCCATCACTGCTTTTTTCAGTCCCCATCAGTTCATAATCCAGTGATCACTGAGTATAAAGGAATGTAATTAGATTACATTATCACAGTTTATTTTAAATGCATATTCAAATTATCTGATTTTCTCTTCAGTTAACAGCTTGTGTCCATGGGTCTGCCGCCATATTGTATCCAATGCACTGGCAACATGTTTACATTCCTGTCCTTCCTCAGCATCTTCTGGATTACTGCTGGTAGGTGTTCAAGCTGAGCAACGCACCGCATACAGGTCTGTCCAGTAGAGTCACAACAACACAGCGAGATCCTTTGGCTTTGGCCCAGAGGTCTGGACTGTGACGTTTTCTAATCAGAACCTTGAAGTTTCTAACACCCAAACAGAATTGGTATTTGTTTTATTATCTTCTAACAGTTCAGTTGGGGGTGTTTTAGTTAGGAATGCTCGATATTGGCTTTTTCTGATATACCGATATTGTCTGACTTACTTTCCAATACCGATACCCATATTTGCTGTGTCCCTCTCTCATTAAAAAAAAGAAAACGAAATATTTTACGTTACTTACATCACGTCTCCAATCTCCTAAATGTCAGTTAAGGTGGTAAAACATTTATAAAGATCTTCATGTAAGAAAAGCGAGCCTTGGGGTAAGATTCTTGTTTATGTTTTAGGCGTTTGTTAGCTGTCTAGCTACACATAGCTACGTGCTGTTAGGACTGCGTACGTTCACAACACAGGGCAAATTTCTACTTCACAGGTTGTGTCGAAGGATTTAAAATATCTCCAAAACTTGTGGCTGAAGAGTTTTAAGTATAATATGTGTATGTTATGTAGAAGTTGTCAATAAAAGACTGAAAACCAATATCGATATTTTCCCATATAAAATTGTAGGCAGATATCGGCCGATATTAACGGTAGACCGATGATATCAAACATCTTTAGTTTTAATGTATCTGTGGGCCTTAAAGTCCTAAAAGCCTATTAAACTGAGATTTTCTTTTATCGTTTAATAAAATGACAAATATTCAAAGATGGAACCAACGTGATGATTGTATCGCTACTTTAAGGCATTTCTTTACTTGTTTCAAAAAGCAATAAGGTCTCTGACTTTACACCTTGAGCAAAGCTGAAGTACATTTTACCAACTACCGTAATTTCCGGACTATAGAGCGCACCTCAATATAAGCCGCACTGGGCTAAAAGCCGCAGATATCTACTGAATTGAAAACGTAGTTTAACTGAACGTGACTGAACTGATCAGTATCAAACAAAACAGAAAAGTTATTGATTAGTTTATTCATCGTCCTCCTGCGCACTGAAACCACTGAAGTCCTCTTCTTCAGTGTCGGAGTTGAACAGCCTCAGAAGAGCTTCGTCACATACCTTGTCTGTGGCGATGTCAGTGTCGCTGTCCGTGTTGCTGTCATCATCCCGGGGTGAAGCTGGGAAAACAAGCAGCACCGTTTTACTGTGAAAAAAATCCTCCTGGCGCTTTCCGTAGCACTCCTTTAACCATTCCTTCATTAGACTTTCCAGCATCCATCCTTTCTGGTTGACTAAAGCCGCACCTCATTATAAGCCGCATGGTTCAAAGCGTGGGAAAAAGTAGTGGCTTATAGTCCGGAAAATACGGTACTTTCTCAGAAGAGATGGTAAATCTGTTTTTTTCTCCTCAGCGCCCCCATGCCCTACCTTATTGGAGTTCATTCCAGCCTGATGGAGGTAGATCAAGTCTAAATCTTTGCGGCACACATTTACAAGATCATTCATGGTATGGATGTTCACACATGCAACCCTATGGCATGTTGCTAGGTAACCCTGTTCTCTCCATGTTTGTAGAAAGTTCGAGGGATGGCCCTAGATGATGTGGTGGTCTTAAACGTAGATACAAACACACTAGAAACCCCTTATGATGACCTGCAAAGTCTGCCTAATGATGTGGTGAGAAGCTGCTGGAAAGCTATTAACCAGTTTTTAGGAAAAAATCCCACGAAGGATTCAAAACCTTCAGATTAAAATTAAGGCCACTGTTCTTGGAAAAAATGAGTTCTGTTTCTGTGACTTGTTCTCCTGCAGGTTTCATCCTTGAAAAGTCGTTTGAAGAAGGTTTCAGCAACAACGGGCAGCGGCGTGGCTCGAGCCTTTGTGAGGAGTCAGGCGGCGCTGTTCGGCAGCTACAGGAACGCCCTGCAGATCGAAGCGGTCAGTGGATTATTCAGTCCGCAATGATGCTGGCTGCAGAGAGGAGAAGAGAAGAAAAATGTCCGCCTTTCTCTTCCAGGATGGTCTTGATTCTTATTTAAGAACAGATGTTCAGATTAAAAAGCCTCACTCTCTACGTTTCAGCAATTAAAAGTAGGGATGCACCATATATAAGCATCAATACTGGTATCGGCCAGTGTTAGTCATTTTTTAATGCAATAACTGTATTTGTTTTCTCCAGTTGGCATTTGGTTATCGGTTTCAGAAGGGGAGGGGCTGGTAGTGTGTAATTGTTTGGTCATGTGACAGTGGTAGTAATCATCTCAGAAGCATAAATGTATGTGGTGTGAGTATAGAATAATAATATATTTAACTCTAATATTTAGTGCTTATTGGAAAGGAACTGGCAATATGATATATAATATAGGAGAGACGATATAAGATCTTGTGATAGTAAAGGCGAGATGATATTTGTGATTTTTGTTTTCATTGTTTTTACTGAACTTGAAAAACTCAGACCAGATGCCTCCAAGTGTTAAGTGCAGTGTTGCCACAGTTACCTTGAAATAGTAATCTGATTACTGACAACTTATTACTTCTTCAAAAGTAACATGGTTACTTTACTGATTATTTAATTTTAAGGGTAACTTAGTTAGATTACAAGTTACTTTATTAGTTACTTTCAGCAGCTGCCAGTAACACTCCCCGCTGCCTCAACACAAAAACAACCGGTTTTGCCGATACTCGATAGTGTATTTTAACAGTAATGTCAACATGTATCTTCTGACGTTTTAAGTTGAACTTAAACCTTATTTTGTGACAGAAATACGCTTGTATGAAAGTAAAATAGACAGTCTTTCTTGACTTTGCTTAACATAAATACTTATTATAAAAAATAAAAGACCTGTCGCCCACTCGTCACTCCCAACATGCAGGAAAAAAGAAATGGTGACCCTGCTCACTGCAGAACAAGCAATGGGCGAGGTGCATTGTGGGTTTATCGCCTTGGTTGTGTTAGATGTTGTTTGTCTTTGGTTCAGTGGTCTGATTGTGCTGTTTTTGTTTGTGTTAATTTAGCATCATGAGCGAGGGTTCCATTCCAAGGAATGGGACTTCTGTGCCATTGGGATGTTTAGGTTAAAATTCACTGCGTTTCCTGGATTTAGTATAAGTGCTCCTTTTAATATAAACATCCTGCAATGCCATCTTTCTTCTTAACACAATCACAAAAATAGTAACGTCAAGTGGCTTGGACTTTAAATATAATACAAGTGTGGAAATAGTAACGCGCTAGATTAGTCGTTGCTGAAAAAGTGGTCATATCAGAGTGACGTGTTATTGTGTTGTTCATTCAGAATGAAGGCGGTGAAAACTGCTGGCACCTAGCAGTTGTGGTTTGAATTGCACCTCACAAAATCAATATAGTAAATGTTAGTGTGTAAACTCTCAATAAAAAATCGATACACTGCTTCGATCCAGTATCGTTGCACAAAAATCACAATATTTCAGTGTACTGATATTTTCTTACAATCCTTCTTATATTAATGTAATATCAGTTATCAGCTATAACAGAGATATTAATACCGGCCCACATTTCCATATCGGTGCATCCCTATTGAAAAGCACTTTTGAGTTGAAAACAGCAGGCGTTTTGATTTTGAATTCCCATTTGCTTCAAAATCTTTCTTTTTTTGCCTGTTTGTATTTTAGATGAATGTTGGCTCTGCAACCTGCTGATGATTAGGAAGTTCATCACACTTTAATAATTACCGAGTGTTTGTGTCTCAACTGTAACATTTGGGATTTCCAGAGTTGTAACAGTGATGTGTCGTTTCCTGTTAGGGGGAACCAATAACGTTTAACGAGGAGACCTTCATCAACCATCGCTCTAGTGCCATGAGACAGTTTCTCCAGAATGCCATTCAGTTGCAGCTCTTCAAACAGGTACACACACACACACACACACACACACACACACACACACACACACACACACACACACACACACACACACACACACACACACACACACACACACCACCCAAACTGCGTCTGTACCACACTCTACAGATTCATACAAACAGCTTCATTTCCTCTCACATTCTCACAGTTTGTGCTTCTGACTGCAGTTCATTGATAACCGCTTGGACCTGCTGAACTCGGGCCAGGGCTTCAGTGACATCTTTGAGGAGGAAATCAGCATGGGTGAATATGCAGGTGAGTCAGCAGTAAAGCTTTCTGTTTCTGTTTTTACCAGCAGATGCACAAAATCTAATAACTTTTTATGTAATACCTTCCCCCCACAGGCAGTGACAAGACCTACCACCAGTGGCTGCTCACTGTGAAGGTGAGATAGAAACTCTCCAACAAATACTAAACATATCTTTTACCGAAAAGTTTCCTTGTGCTTGGTCAAATAATGTTTGTGCAATGTTGCAGAAATCACATATCCACTACATCAGAGCTATTCAATTCCAAGCCTGGAGGGCTAGTGTCCAGCACATTTTAGTGGTTTCTCTGGTCCAACACACTAGATTCAGTGGTTGAATCACCTGTGCAGCAGCTCATCAGGCTCTGCACAAGCCTGTTAATCACCTGCTGATTGAAATCAGATGTGTTGAAGCAGAGTTAAAACTAAAACATGCTGGATACCGGCCCTCGAGGCCCGAAATTGTATAGCCCTGCACTACATCATTGCACCTACACACACACACCACACCTAAAGTAGAATTTTGATTTTTGTGTAATTCCATTCATCTGTATAAATCTGAGGGGATTAAACAAAACACGAACATGTCCAAATTAGTTTAAAACTGTCTAATTCAATCAAGTCTAGTCCATATCAATCTATTTTACTATAAGTTTTAAATCATAAAACCAGGAAATTAAAAGTCACCCAGGTCTCTGGAAGGCATGTTTATGATTAACTGGCTATATTCATCAGACTTCATGGATATATAGAACCATCACCAATGGAAATGTGTCCATTAATGACTATTGGTCTTATCCTATGAAAGCACATATAAAGAAAATATTATTGGACCAAGCTCAGAACCCTGAGGAACTCCCAAGAGGAAGATTCATTAATAACACAAATAAAATTGTATCTATCAAATATGACTCAAACCAGTCATTGTTGTATTTTCATCCCAATTCATTTTCAAGCCTCTGTAACAAATATTGTGGTCAGTTGGATATACAACTGAGATCTAAACCAGTATAGACACCAGTACACTGTCTGAGGCCTTGAGAACATCTTTACTAATTTTAATCTCTGATGGGGTTGAGCACCAGTCTAAAAGTGGGCGTTGTTCTGTGATGGATGCTGGATTAAGAAATCTAACATTTTTTTCTGTTATGGAAACACGTCTTTGGACTTTCACTAAATTCAGTTTGTAGGGTCTCCTCTGTCAGAACCTTGGCCTGGTTGTTTTTTCATGTGCAGATTTAATTCTGTGTAACAGTTCTAGAACATCTGAGGGTCACATATTTGTGTTTTTAACAACCTATTCAAGTAGATTTTTGTTCAAGCTTATGCAGCGTTTTTAAATCGGCTTGATGCGTGTCACGTGGCTTCTGTGTGTACCTCTAATCATTACGTTGTTTTACAGAAAGGGGGTGGAGCTATCTTCCAATCAGTAAAGACTAAAGCTAACCCAGCCATGAGGACTGTTTACAAGCTTGTAAGCACTTCCCCTTTTTCAAAACTACCCTGTCCTTTTATTCTAATTTTTAAAAACCCTCCTGGATCAGATAAATCATTCTTAGCTCCACTTCAGTGATTTACAATGAGGACTGAGATGGCAGTAGGGCTCCACGATATCAGATAAAACCTGCAATTGTGATATAATTCTAGAGTATTGTGATAATGATGATGATGATGTAGATTGTGACAAACCTAGGCTTGGACATTAACAGTAGAGCATTATTCCACATGCAAGTGCATGTCATACACAACATAAAAAATATTGGTAGAATTTTTCTGATCCAAGCAGTTTGTTGCAATAGTGATATTGCTCACATTAATATTGCATGATATGTGCAGCTCTAGTTGACTGTGATCTGATTTGTTCAACAGGCGAAGGACCATGCAAAAATGCGCATCAAGGAAGTCAAAAGCCGGTTGAAGCAGAAGGTAGTTAACTCTGCATCACTGTTACAATCATGGCTGACTTTTAGTCGTGACTTAAGTGAATACTAAAGATATGCCTGTGTAATATCATTTATCATCTTGGGATTCAAACCATCATAATTCAAGAGATTATTGGTATCATCTTTGAAGATTATGGGGTACGTCTCTCTTGCAGGACTCTTTTGTTGCACATCAGCCATGACAGTGTTGAATGCTACACCTCTTTCACAGAATGTCTCAATAACAGTAAAAAAGGGAAGGTGGTGGGTCCACAGAGGTCTTTAGGGGCCTCATGTCATGAATCAATTACTATTCAGAGGGTCTAGCTGCTCAGCTAACATAGAACCAAATCTATGCTAAATTTAAAGCAACACTAAACAGTTTCAAACTCTTCTGTCCTATGGTTGAAAGTGGAATCACAACTGTCGAACAACCCTGCAGTAGGAGCCAACACTAACATAAGCCAAGTCCTACCAAATGAGCTACGAATTAAAAGATCCACACTGTTTGACAAAAAATATAATTACGTACAAGTCCTTTAGCAACAAAGCCAGGCCATCATCACCCTGTGTTTTCATAGCCTCATTCAGCTCCCACAAACTAGTTTAGACTCTAATTTCCCTCTGGGATTAATAAAGTATCTTTGAATTGAATTGAATCGAATTGAAATGTATGGCAAGCCATTTAAACATTTATTTTGCAGACTAGCTATGTATTCCAGATGTCTATAATTATATTGTTCCTAGTAGAAATTAACATTCCAGATCTCCACAATAGCATACCTACAATCCAGAATGAACATTTCAGATATCTGAAATGTAATTCTTCCTAGCACAAATGACATCACATTTCCCATTCATGTGTATTGGGTTTTTAGCACCTCCTATCCACAATTACAGTCTTCCTGTCAGGAATTGTGGATAAGACAAACGGAATTCTTTCTAGGTGAAACTCTCCTTTCAGATAGCTCTGATTGTTACTAGTAAAAACTCATGATGCCAGCAAAAGCACTTTTCTTCCTTTTCTTGTTTTTTATTGACGATTGGCAAACTGAAAAAGCTAACTGCTAGCCTTTTATTAGCTATCGACACAGAAAATAGCTAGCAGTCGTTAAGCAGATAAAGAGCACCCCCTGCTCCACAAAGCTGTTAAGTGCTGTTTCTGGTCAGCAGAGGGCTGCAGAGTGCTGTCTCATGGAACGTTGGTAAAGTTTCCACCAGCACAATCGCTGACCCCACTTTTTAAGGAATTGGTTACAACAGGAAAAAAATTTGCTTAGTGTTGCTTTCAAATGTTGCAATATTGAGCCTTGACAGCTATGCCTATTATTGTTCTCTGTTTTTCTTTTATACGTGCTCTCCCTCTGTCTCTTTTGCTGTTTCATCACTGCTCTCACTCATGGCCATGTGTTTCCGTGGTTCCAGGAGCAGATTGAGAACGGCTTGTCCAGTCCTGGATCAGTGGTTATTGATGATGACAACACAGTGGGAAATTCCTCCTCTACTCATGCAGCCATGAAGGAGGGGCCCCTGCGCCTCTGGGATGATCAGAGACCCATCACCGTGCACTTTGGACAGGTGAGACAAATGGATTTTAAACACAAAGATGACATGCAGCTGGGAGGGTTAATGAGAGTGGAAGGAGGTGTTGGTTTGATATCTATTGAATCATTTAACTAAATACTTTTTAATAAACAGGCTTTTCCTAAGCCAATCAGAATCTGTTGTGAAGCATCAGTCTATCTAGAGAGATCCAGTAGCCCCCCTCGTTTAGTTCTGTCATAGCTTCTAGCAGGAAGCAGCCTCGTAAACAAGCTACCACTTCTGGAGCGTTGATCAGCTGACTAACATAAAAAATAGTTTTATGTAATAGAAATGGTAAGGCCAGATAGTGCAGCTGTCAGCAGGGTGGTAGACTGTAACCCCCAAATTCCACTACCTCCGCTCCGCTGCGGTCCGCCCCCGTCCTCCGGAGCTGCTCGCTTCCAAACTCAATTTTTACTGGTACCTGCTCTACAACGGCTCCGCTCCGGTGCGGAGACCTGAGGGGGACAAACAAGCATGCGCGGGATTTTCAAGATCTTGCGATACAGTCCGAGCAGTAAACGTGGAAGTTAGATCCAAACACCCGTTGTGTGGGAGAAGCATCGGCATGAGCTGTTTAATCTGCTCATCATTTGTATAGAGATCAGCAGTGTTTGGATCAACAAAGTGTGACTACTTTGATAGTGGAAACTGTATTTATGGCTTACTTTTGTGCATTTAAACTTCAGCCGCCATTGATAGTTGTTAAAAGTTGTTAAACCTGTGCATATGAAACAAAAAACGCCTTTTGTTTATCGATTTATTGTGAAAAACGGAAGTTGTGCTTGCTCCTTTTCCTGTTGGGCCGTTGTGATTTCTTTCCATTGACTGCGGAGGTGCTCCGGCGAAAATAGGATCGATTCTATTTTTGCCGGACGCCGGAACAGAGGGCGGCGCACGGCGCCGCACTGCCGGAGCACGGCCGCAGTAGTGGAATTGCTCTGATTGACTAGAACGGGACCGCTTTTGCTCCGGCGTTCGTGTCGGAGCGGAGCGGAGGTAGTGGAATTTGGGGGTAAATTAATCTTGTTTTCCATTTTGAAATACTTTTCTGAATCCGTCCAGGCTCGACCTCCGATGTTGTTGAAGAGACCGAGCAGCAACGTGAGTCTGGAAAGCATCTCTGACCAGTAAGCCTGCCTTTATCTTACACATCTGTACGGAAGTGGAGCTGGTGTGTGTTTGGATATCTGCCAAAAGATGAAAAACTCCACAGCAGTGATTTATGTTTTCTGGACATCACTGATCCCTTGTTAGGAGTAGAGTGATGTTTCTACTCACAGCTTATTTAACACATAAAGCATTAGTTGTGCTTTAACAAATGTGCAGTTTACCCTTTTCTTGTGCTGTTCCTGATAGTTATGATGCATTGGTCCAACTCAGCGAATGATCTGTAAGACTGCTGCTGTGTCAGACAGAAATGTAATTAAACACAAGCACGCTACTCCTTTGCGTTACAAGAATGTTCTCATATCAGTTTGCTCACTGATTTTATTTTCTGACCTGTGTTGTCGTCCTTTTTTCACACAAATGATAGTTCCTGCATTTCCAGACTTTTTAGGTGTTTTTTCAGGAACACTACTCAGAGTAACTCGAACCGATGCAGCTCGGCCCAGCCACTGTTCCCAAGGGCACGGTTTGGTATTTTCCCGCTACTTCTCTATTTTTAGTCCCTGCTCCACTAAGGTACCTGGCAAGGCTGAGTCGGACCACATTGTGGTTCTGGCCGCTGATTGGCTAAGGGGCGGAGTCACTGGTTGCTCTGAAGTTTTCTGTCTTCTGCTTCACCGCCTGCAGCCATTTCCTGGTTCAGGGGGACAAAAAGCCAACTGAGCTAAATGTCCAGCAACACCACCATTTTTCAGCTGAGGTTGTTTCTGTGGAGCATACAAGTTACCTTACACTGTTTACTGATCACCTCATGCTATTTTGTTATGAGTAAAAAGTGCGCCGGCCCCCCCTCCCCCCGCACCTGTGAGGGGCGTGCCCACTTTCTGTCACGGAGCTGACATGGGAACAGAACTACACTCAGATGGGCTGACTCCATCCACGCCGTACAGAGCTGTGTCGGGCTGAGTAGTGCTCCTGGAAAAGCACCTTTATCAGTGAAACTCAGTAGTACACTAGTAGAATAATACACACCTGCTTTAAGTGGACTCGCACCAAATTTACACTAGTAACTATAATAACTATTATATACAGTAACTATTGGTAATAACACCTGAGTTCCTCATCTTTCCTTAACCTTCCCTCTTTAATGCACTAATGACTGTGTGGGTTTTGTCTCTCTTGACTCCAGCTCTAGCCGTCCTACCCGACATTATACCGTCTTTCTGTCTGAGGATTCATCCGGGGATGAGCTCCAATACGACACTGATTCCATCTCTGGGTTTCCTGACAGTTTCCTCTTCTCTGTCCCTTTTGACTGGTCTCCTCTGTATGAGTCTCGCTTTTCTTTCAGATATATATGTTTTTGCTTCTTTGACATTTAGCCCAGGATGTTTTCAATATTAAAGAGTTAAGCAACAGAAACACAGAAGCATCAATTTAACGAGCTGCTTTAGGTCCAAATCCAACTTTTACCCGTTTTCAGTGTTCAGCAGCCTCGCCTCTGTCAGTGCGCCCCAGGGAAGCGGTGGCTACGTCGTAGCTCGTCCCCACCAGCGTGTGAATGTGTGGATGACTGATTGTGTTCTGAAGTGCCTTGGGGGGGTTGTAGTACCCTATGAATGTGCTATATAAACAGAGGCCATTTACCATTTATTTACCATTCACTAAGTCAGTTTTGTCTTGAGAAAAACTCAGTTTGTTAGTCAGACTCAAAACATGAAAAATAGACTTTTATTTACGCTTTAGGTGTTTGTTTAGACCCAAGATGACCTCCTGTCAGAATAACCTTCAGTCCATCCCTCTACCTGCAGGCCACAGCCATACCGCTCGCTCAAGGAGGTGGACCTGATAGAGGGGGAGGATGCTGGTTTTGGGGCAGAAAGTCACACTGCTCCTCCCAGTCCAGTTACTGAAAAGTTCTCCAACATCAACCTTCTGGGGGACATTTTTGTCTGCCAGGACGAACCTGACAGCCACCCAGTTACATTGGCCAAGAGTCTGGAAGACCTGAGGACTCCCAAAGACTCTGAGGAGCTACAAGCCAAGTTCACCTACCAGGTCAGAGGTCCACTTGTGATTTCAGATTGGAGGAGATAGTCCACCTCCTAGGCTTGGGCAGTATCCAAATTCTGATACCGTTATTACCGTATAAAAACTGTGACGTTACCTTCAATGTTCAGAATCTGAATACCAAACACTGTTATTACTGGAAAAAATAAAACATTAAATTACCTTATTACCTTATGACACATTTCATTTAAAAAATGCAGCTTATTACCAAGATTTTTCACCAGAAAAACAGCTTCAGCGTTACACGCTATGGACCGACAACTGTGAGCTTGTGGCACAGATACGCTGGCTTTCAGGCCAGTCACGACATCTGGGGAAGAGACTATCAGCACATTTCCTCCAGAAAAGGGATTTGTTGTCTCCTTGAATAACAGGCTTCAAATGCGCTGCTATTCCTGCTCCGGGGCGTTTCTCTGCTGTGCCGACAGGACCTGCATCTCGTCATCACCTCCTTATTGCACGCGGAACCCTCGTAGACGGGAAAACGCGGATTGACTCAACGCCGGCTCTCTTTTATCATTTGCTTGGAACCCGAAATACTTTCAAACTGCAGAAGTTCTTTTTTCGACACCGTCAGTTAAATCACGGCCTGCCATCTTTCTCCTCGTCTCGCTCTCCTCCACGCAGTCACGTGATGACGTCATGTTCATAAACTTTATGGAACGTCGCCAAAAGTCAGCCGTTAACCATCTAAAATAAAATTCAACCCTTCATCAACTGATGGAAAAATTAACTTTTTTACACATAAAATGTTGATTGTATTTTAATCCTTATCTCCTAAGTGCTCTGCAGTTGTTTTCATTTTTTCATGACGGTATTGTCTCTGATACCATTTTTATTTTTAAACACCAGCGTTATTATACGGTATTACCATAATACTGCCCAAGCCTAGCAACTACATTAGTACCCTGGAGTGTTAGAAGCGAGGAGCTAAAGCTCCATCTAGGTCTTGTGAGCATGTTCACTGAGCAGAAGCTTCATTCTGTAAATGTGTGAAAACACATCTGTCTTGTTTCAGGTTTGTTTCTGTAGACGTATCAGGTCAGCAGACTTGCTGCAGACTAACATGACTGAAGCTGAAAAAGAGATCAATCAAACCTCTGCTGGCTTTGTGACCTGTTTTGAGTCATGTAGGATAACTATCTGAGCTGCTTTTAATCATCTGGACTGATCTTTAAACTTTTCCTTACAGCGGTTGGACTTGAGTAGTGTTGACAGGTCACGGATGCTTCCAGGCCTGAAGCTTTCTGACCCCTACACCAAGCTGTGGAGTTCAGAGCGGGTGCCTCCTGTCTGTGAAAGACTATCATCCACCCAGCTCCCTGTGCAGCTGGACTCCTCCTCCCCAGCACGTGAAAGCTCCGGGACAGCCTCTGACCTTTTGGATCCCTCCAACCCTGCCAACATAACCATTCCTCGTCCCCATGGTAGGAAGACTCCTGAGCTGGGTTCTGTCCTCGCTCCCCCCGCTGCCCAGCCACGCCCTAAGGTAGCAGCCTTTGGTGAAGGAAGGACTTCATCGGGGGGGCAGGAGTTCAGGCAAGCTCTGAGCATGACCTCAGATGGAGATCTGCTAGGACCCACCAAGGCTGCTGAGGACAGCATGGATCTGCTGAGCCTTCTGGACCCTCTGAACAACTCCTCACAGTCCAACTCTACTGCACTGACTGAAACACTAGATATCAGTTCCAAACCACCACTACCCCCCCGGCCCTTCCCTCCGGGTTTGCCACCTTTCACACTTCACCCCCACATCCCGATGAATCCTTTCACCCCGTCTCTGCAGCACTACTCCCCCACTGTGTGTGGGAACCCCTTCAGTGCTGTCTGTGTACCTTCTCCAGGTTCCTACATACACACTTCCTCCCAGCCTCAGGCCTTCTCTACACTACCAGGTCTCTACAGACAGCACTCACCCAGCCAGGGACCGCCCCAGTCCACTTTCCCCTCCTCGGTCTCCCCCGTTCCTCGCTCTGACAGCAGCCTCACCCTCTCCAGCCTTGTAGACTCCACCTCTGTCTTTAGCTCGCCTATGAACATGCTGCCAAAGCCGCTACAAGCAGAAAACCAGGGGGCTCAGGACCCCTTTGGGGACCTGCTGAGTTTGGTCACACCTGCTGCACCACAGAAGAAGAAGGTGGAGGAACTTCGGAGGAAGTGGGAAACGTTTGACTGAACCTGTACAACGATGAGCCCTTTCTCATCACCTTCAGGGCTTTCTGCTGCTTTAGATGGTGCATCACCTCTGATGATTCTGCTAATGCAGCTTTCAGAAGTTAAAAAAAGTTTGTTTTGTTTTGTTTTTTTTTCAGCTGAGGTTGAAGTTTAGACTTTTAGACAAAGGAACATCATAGTTCTACTAAAGTCTGGACTGAGACTGAGTTATGAAGGGCCCTCAGCGTTCCAGGACCTCAGACATAGTTAAAAAACTCACACTAATGTTGTCTCAGTGAATGTCCTTAGATTAGTCCTAGAGTCCCCGTGGGTGGCCTAACTGGGTCTCAACTTGGTTCAGGTTCTTTGACTAAGTTGTGTCTGATGGATACTTGCAAACAGATCAGGACAAGTAACTTAACTGCAACAATTTTACTCGACATTTGCTTGTAGTTTTGACATAAATCAGGTAAGACCAACATTTACCCAATCTGTAATCGTCAGCAGTCACAGACCAATGAGATTTGATGCTGTTCCATTGGTTCTAAATCTCCATTCTTCTGTGCTGAGGAAAGGAACAAGAGTAGATGGATCTGTGTTTGCTTCCAGGTTTAAAACTGAGTCCATCACCAGGCAGGATTATACCCATCAGAGTTCCAGTGGTAGGAGGACTGGATAAAAGGGGCTCTGGGGTCCCAGCTGGTGGTGTTAAGTCACCATGCCTTAGTCTCACTCATAAGCAACAGTAGGTAACACTAGCAAGGCTCACGGTTGTGTCCATGGCAACGTGATGGCAGCATCCAACAGTGAGGCTTTGTTAAGGATCTGGAACAACCAGTGAGAGTGTTTAGCAGAATCACAGGAACTAGAGCCTAACAGATCAATCTTATGGTTCTCAGTTATTAGTTCCATTTTTTTCTACTTTAGCTTGTTTTTAAACTTTTTTTTTTCAAACACATCAGAGATGATGGACCATAAACTTCCCCAGAAAGTCCTGCTCCAGTAAACAAAACTAGTGACACCACGACGTTGCTGCAGCTGTGTGTAGTAAACATCTGGTGGATGTGAACTGCCTCCTCACCACTTCATCTCACCGGTTTCCCACAGTCAGGATGTTTCCCTGCACTTCCTGATCCCTCTGAAACATAAGGCTTCAGCTCTGTGACGAGGCTGTATTATTACTACAATCGGCTCCTTGGCTATAGCTAACACCCCGTTAGAGGACCTTGGCTGCAGGCTGTGGGGCCGGCGGTTCACCTGTTAGTGGTTTATAGTCTCCTGTAGACAGCTGCTGCTTTTCTTGGCCTTCATGATGCTTCCTGTTTCTGCTTCTTTCTTTGACCTGTGGAAATACTTTCAACTGCTGTTTAAAACCATTCATTTAAAAATAAACCTGCAAGCCTATAATTACTATTATTCCAAAAATTATATTTAAACAACTCTCTTATTAAACAGAAACATTTTGAAGCATTTCATTTGCAGTCTGTTGTTTCAGAGGATCTTTTTGGTTTGTGTTTGAGTCCTGCCCGATAATCCAGACTGCTACAGAGTTATGGGACAGCTCTAAAGTCCGCATAAAGAGGAAGGAAACGGTTTGGCTGATTCCCTCGTCGTCGTAACGGTGATCCTTGGTAAAGAACCTGATATCGTTGGAAAGCCTGATGAGTCACAACAGGGTAGAACTTGGCAGGATGAGCGAAACACCCTTTCATTTTATTATTTTTGGCGGGGTCTTTCATCAATAGGTACCAAAATGTGACCTTTCAGTCAAACGGGTGAAGAAGCCAACAAGTTGTGGCTTTCAGCTTACTAAGAGATTCACTTTTGAGTGGTTCTGCTTCAAGTAGTAAAGAAGTGTTTCCAGTGAGAGCGTTGAACTGGTGCAGAGTTGTAAACTAGTAGAGACACAACTTTTGATATCAGTGAGTTTCAGTAAAACACAGCAGGCTGTTAGTGCTGTTAAGAAGTACTCAACATGGATCGTTGCCAACTTTTATTGAGTGCTGCTTAGCTGGTGAGTTAAGGCTCACGTTTAAAAGAAAAAAATAACTAAGATGCAAACATCCAATGGAAACTGAAAGCTAACCTGGTGAGGATCTGCTGTCAGTGAAGACAGGGAAGGCTAACGGGTGAACTGATAAAAGTTGCAAACACAAAAGGAACGGAACCACTCATAGGTACAGATAAAACTTGAAAAATTGTAATGTGGTGCCAAAGGCTATTTATGTCAGTCATTCTTAAAGGTGAAACTGATTTATGAGACTCACAAACAACACAAAAAGATGCAAAGCCAGATATTTCAGCCTTTATTTGTTATAACTGAAGATTATGGCGCACAAATTATTCAAAATCTAGCACGATTAGAGTAACGTAAAAAGGTTCAGTATTTTAGACTCGGTGTCACACTCTAATCAGCTAATTAATCAAAAACTCCAGCAAAGGGTTCCTGAGCCTTTAGATGTTCTCTCAGTCTAAGCTGAATTACTGATATAAATGGACTTTTGCACCATATTCTAATTTTTCCTGTTTCACCTGTACTCTGAAACAATGTCAGCTGTGTATGTATAAACAGTCCTAGTCTACCCAAACACAATGTGATTACTCTTGTCTCTTTGAATCTCCCTTTTGAGGTTTTTGTTCTTTTTCCTCTGGTCAGAGATGAAAACTCAAAATCAGGATAAAAAATCTCAGGCTTTTTATTTTGATAACCATATGTTGATTATATCTGTGATTAAGATGACATTAATAAAAAGGATGTAGTCTGTTGTTTTCAGACATACGCACCGATCAGGGCTGAGCTGCACTGACATCAGTAGTAGGAGAAACTAACTTATCAAATAGATGATTTGTTGATGAAAAATTAGCCTTCAAGGTGAATTCACCTACAGGTAATTAGTTTAATAAACTATATAATTTAAAAAACAAGTTAGAATTACTTGATAACTTAATACAGGGGCTCCATAAATGCAAGCAAATGAGAGATATGTTAACAGTTCTAGGTGTGTGGGCTTACAGGCTGAGAGTGTTGGATGGGAAGTACAATATGTTCTTAAGACTTTCAGATGTTCCTTCAGGCCCGTACAGCTCTGAATGGGTTCTTATAGGTTGTTGAGCTCCAGGAGAGTCTGGTCCAACACCTGGTGCATATCCAGATTCTCTTCTTTGGCCTGGGCCAGCTTCTCTACAGTTGGAAACAAAATAAGTCAAAGACATAGTAAAAAAGCGCTCTGTATTTCTTCACATTACATACAAAGACACATTAGTTGCTCTTTTTTTAGTAAAAACATATGTAATGTAAGACCTATTTGGAGGTTCTGGAGAGGATGGTTCATCGGATAGTCAAACCTCGGATTCATGAGCAATGTGGTTTTGGCTTTATACCAGCTCAAGAGGTAGAACGGGTTGTCCAGTAATCAGAAGATTGCAGGTTCATTCCCCACTCCTACCAGAGAATGCTGCTGTTGTGTCCTTGGGCAAGACACTTAACCCACCTTGCCTGCTGGTGGTGGTCAGAGGGACCAGTGGCGCCAGTGGCAGACCTCACCTCTGTCAGTGCACCCCAGGGCAGCTGTGGCTATATTGTAGCTCATCCCCACCATCATGTGAATGTGTGTAAATGGGTGGATGACTGATTGTGTTGTGAAGCGCTTTGGGGGGTTGTAGAACCCTAAGAAGGTGCTATACAGGCCATTTACCCGTCCTGAAGAGTGAGTGGGAGTTTTCCCAACCAATCTACATGTGTTTTGTGGATTTGGTGAAAGTGTATAAGTGTCACTCAGGGAGATCTGTGGGCAGTATGGGGTTTTAGGCCCATTGATACGGGCTGCTAGTTCTGATTGGTCTGATCAGTTGAAGGTATGATCGATGAGAGCTTGGTCCACATTGCCCGCAGTCGCAAGTCAGGCCCATTCCCGGTGGGAGCTGGATTTGCCAAAGCTGCCCATTGTCACCGATTCTGTTCATAACTTTTATGGACAGAATTTCTAGATGCAGCCAAGATGATGAGGGGATACGTTTGGGTGGTCTGAGGATCAGGTCTCTGCCTTTTGCAGATGATGTGGTGAAGAGAGAGCTAAGCTGGAAGGCGAAGCTCTTTCTTGGATCTACGTTCCTACCCTCACCTGTCATCACGAACTTTGGGTAGTGACTGAAAGAAGGAGATCACAGATGCAAGCGGCTGAAATTGGTTTTCTTCGCAGAGTGTCTGTGCTCTCCCTTACTGATAGGGGGAGAAGCTTGGTGATCAGGGAGGGGCTTGGAGTAGATTCGCTGCTCCTCCACATCGAGAGGAGCCAGTTCAGGTGGCTCGGGAATCTAGTTAGGTTGCCTCCTGGACGCCTCTCTGGTGAGGCTTTCCAGACACGTCCAGCTGGGAGGAAACCTAAAGGAAGACCTAGGACACGCTGGAGGCACTATGTCTCTCGGCTGGCCAGGGAATGCCTTAGGAATCCCTCGGAGGAGCTGGCCCAAGTGGCTGGGGAGAGGGAGGTCTGGGCATCTCTGCTTAGGCTGCTGCCCCTGCGACCCGAAGAAGTGGAAAATAATGGATGGGCCAAAGGTTTAAATGCCTTCCATTCACACCTCTTAAAGTCTCACTGTCATTGCCCATGTTAAAGTTGAAAGACTTGAGTCCCCAGTTGGAGCCCCATCTAAAGCTGGTTCTAGGATCTCTGAAGTGGGTGGGTACTCTGAGATGCTGTTTGCTGCATACGTTTAAACCAGAGTTGGGGCCTGTTCCTCGACCTGAAAGCACAGTGGACCTACCCTTTTATCATCTTGGGTAAATCCCAACAAACAGGCAATCAGTCTGAGGGCTAACAAGAACTTCCTCCGCTCAACTGGGTCAACTTCATTGAAGAATAAGGTCCAACCCCTCGCTTTTAATTGGAGACCCTACCAGGGACAGCGTGATAGCTCTAAGGATCTTAAGCAGTGCCCAAAGTGGGCCTGTACTTACCAGTACACACTCCTTATACACCCACCAGTGCACAGCTGATTCAAATTAATTGGAGTGAAGGCTCTTATCTTGATTTATAATATTAGAGTATCCACCAGCTCAGCGGCCTAGTGGTATGAGTGTCTTCCCTGGGACTGGGAGATCCATGTTTGGGTGATACCAAAGACTTGGTGACCCAATGTTTCCCCGCTTGACACTCTGCATTAAGGTGTTCGACTGGAAGGGATAAAACAACAAATAGTTCCTGAGCACAGCTGTGTCTGCAGCTCACCTCCCCTCCCCAGGCCATGCGTCAAATGTGGAGAACAAATTTTACACAACAGTGTGAACACTGATGGGACTTTTAACTTTAACATCAGACTCCAAACTTTACAGGAAGCAGAACAACAAAAGGAAGTAAATTTCAATACATTTCTCTGGTGTTTATTTTATGTTTATGTTTATTCATTTAGCAGACGCTTTTATCCAAAGCGACTTACAATTTATAACCTATGGGGCATGTTGTGATCTGCGGGGTAAACCGGAGTACCCGAAGGAAACCCACGCATGCATGGGGAGAACACGCAACTCCACTCAGAAAGGCTGCAGCCGAGTTTTGAACCTGCAACCTTCGTGCTGCGAGGCAACAGTGCTTACAACTGTGCCACCATGCAGCCCATTGTAGATATTTAAAAAATCTCAAATATAACGGTTATATTAAAAACACCCTGATGGCTTTATTGCAGCTAAAAAACATCAAACCTGACATTAAATATGAGCATAAATAAAAAATATCAGTTGAGTCCTTTTTACATGCTGACACTTTTTAGATGTATCATTTTTGATTTTAACAGGAACTGTCAGCACCATCAAATTAACTAATAGATACAATAAAACCTTAAATATACTCCTTACAAATTTAAGCATCAATATTCAAATTTCGGTGTTTGAATAGAAAAAATGTAATCACACAATTTTTACTCCGGGCTATCAAATCATCAGAACCTCACACTGACCCATAATTATGTTGGTGGGGAACTAAAGATGTGGATTAAGGCTCAGGGTTTGACTTTCCCCATGAAGCTGTGACTCTACGACAGGTTAAACCCCAGTCCTACAGCGATCAGCGCAAATACCCAAATTTAGTGAGCTCAAATTATTTACCTTTGGTAAAAATTTGATGTATCCTTTTTAAAAGTGATCTACATGTTGTTTGTTATTAGGACCTTGTGTGGGGTTGGGTGCTTATTTGTGCGTGTATCAAAGAGTTCTTTTCCCAAATGTATAATGGGTTTATTTCCTGAGCCCTAGCATGTGTGTTACGTGTGCAGCAGGTGGTCAGCAGAAAGCAAGGAGGAAACCGAGATGAGACAAAAAGTCAAGAGAGCTTTAAATCTTTATTACAGAAAGGAGAGGAAACAGAACTAAATAAATATTTCACTAATAAGGACATTAATCAGACCACATTTAAGGTAAGCAGCAGCTCCTGTTTTTAAAAAGAGAGAAAACAATAGACCAGTCCTGTGTCACAAACATCTAACCGCTGAAGGGAGTCTGAATTTCATTTGATAAATCTTCCATCGCTGCTGCAAAAAGGAAGAGAAGAGCAAAAAGGTGGAGGGACGATGAAACAGAAGGGGAGGAAGACAGTGTCTACAGTGTGGTCATGTCGTTGAGGGCCAGGTCCAGCTCCTCGCTGAGAGCTTTGCCCTTTAGCTTCTGAGCATACACCTCGTCTGGAGGAGAGGGGTGAAAGGTCACAGACAGACACACAGGATGGAAAAACATTGAGATGAAATAACAGGACAGAGAAAAGTCCAGAAAGTTAAAAAGGGTAAAGAATCGCTGCCACTGCCACCAGTACTATGTGAATGTCATCATCACTTCAGCTCAAAACACACAACAGTCAGTTAGACTTATCCTGGATCTACGTCAGCTGATGAAAGTTAGTCACACACAACCCATCTGTCCGTATGCAAGATGTCCAAGATAAAAATGAAGTCAACAACTTTAGACTGATAGAAACGAGCCTCACACCTCCTCTGTAACGGGATGGAGCTACTAGATGTAGTCCTGCTTCGACAAGCTCGAATGATCCTCTTCCAACCACAGTCCCAGACCAATCGGATCAATAATCCAACGTTGTGCATGATTGTTTCTCTTTATTTACTCCTGCTGTTTTGTCTTTTTCTTGTGCTTTGTCAAGTTTTCAGCTAATTTTATCAATATATCACAACAGTCGGCTGCTTTTGGAGATGCTGGCTGGTAGTTCTACCCTTTATACTTTTACTTTACTTTGGTCTATTGAAGCACAGTCATGGCTTCAACTTTTTCAAAAACACTTATTTAGACTAACCACTTCAGCGTAATTCCACCCAGAAACTTCAAACTTTAAATGAGTCTCAAAACTTTGAGATGTTACCATATAATTCAGATTGTTGATTTTCACCGTATTTTGTAAAAAGAGTTTTAATTTTTTACAAAAATTTCCACATTTCTCGATTTTCTCTCCTCAGATTAAGTCATCGCCTCCCTCTAATTCCTTTTCCACTCCAAGTCCTTTTGTAAGCAAATATGTATTACCCTCATACCTAGATATGTACACATTTCATATTTAGGCAGCCTGTTCCTGAGTGCAAACTGAATTTTCACAAACTGCCTCAGAATAATGAGTGGTCAGACCAAATTCTCCATGAAAATCGTTTTAAAAGACAAATCTTCTCACTGCAGATAAACACAAACAAGACCACCAAAGCACTCTGTTGATCATGTTTGCTGGATCATTTTGGTCTATCATGGCTGCCTCCATGAACCCTGTAGCACTTGTCTGTCTTTGTGTGTGTGTGTCTGAGTGAGTGTGTGAGCAAATGAGTGATTAATCCCACACTAATGGCGCTTTCACATCTGGGCCAGCACGGACCAGACTGGGTAGCTTTTAAAATGTTCACATCTAGGTGACCTTGCATTTTTCCGTGCTCAACCGATCTACACACATACCAAGGCGATCTGCTTTGGGCTGAACAGGTCCAACACACCCACTGCCAACTGATTGGCCGGCTCAAATACACGCCTACCGTTGGAAGAAGCTTCCGACTGGCAGATAGAATAAACCAGCAGGGGCTTCCTGCTTGCACGATTCATTATCGTTCTGGAAACTGAGAAGTAAATGTTGCCTCAGACTGAAGCTGCAGCGGTCTCTCCTTCTCACTGCTGTGAGGAGCACACACACACGCACACACAGAGAGAGAGAGAGAGAGACAACGCTGCCGTGCCTTGGGCTGCACAGCCGTCTAAGGGAGACACCACAGACTTTTCCGCTCGTCTTTTGCCCCGCCCACGTGCTCGGAGATTTCCCCGTTCTTGAAAAGTGTTTGTGAACAATCCCTATCGGTGCTGGGCCTGGACCTTCGCCACCCAGCCCGGTCCATGCTGGCCCAGATGTGAAACTTCCATAACAATATGCTAAGACCGATGTTAACAATGGGTTAGCATGTCTCTAATGTTAGCATCGCATCTCACTAATGATGAATGTTATCAGCTGTTTGTTAATCTGTTTTTCTCTCCAACACGATCGTCAAGAACAGGAAACAGAACCATCTGAGTACCTTCCAGGTCGTCGATGGTTTTCTCCAGCTTGGCGACAGATCGTTCTGCAAACTCAGCTCTGGTCTCAGCCTGAAACACAAACCACAGCGTATTTTGGGTTATGGTCTTGGTTTACGTGATTAAATTCCTCCTTGTTTTATAGTTTTGCATTTAAGTATGGACATAAATGAACTTTTGCACCATATTCTAAGTTTTCAAGTTTCATTTGTATCGAATTACATTACGAATGTAATTATTTGATGGTTAATTTTAACTGGAAACAATACAACAAATATAAAAACTCGGAATTTATTAGCATGTCTGAACTTGCTCATGCATGTGCAGTTGGAGTTTGGGTTGGGGAAGCTGAAATGACCACGTTCTACAACATTGCTGCTCTGACTGGATCACTTGGTGATTTTCTCCTGATTTAGATATTTTTCTGCTTGAAACATTTTTCTAGACTAGTGTAGATGCTGTGTTCATGAAATCTCCTCTTCTGGCTCTTTTTAACACCTGATATGACAACAATCCTTTCAGGAGGAGGAGCTGACTGAGCCCCAGGGGGAGAACTCAAATCAGATCACCTGAACAGGAGCCCGTAGCATCCTGAGAATAGTGGGAGGGTTTAGTTTAAACCTACAAATGTAAGAATGAACATCTCAACACTTCACGGGGAGCTAAAGAAGTCATTTCAACAGGAAAAGTCTTACCTCCTTCAGTTTTTCTGTAAGAACTTTTATTTCTTCTTCATATTTGTCCTCCTTTTGTGAGTACTGGAAAACAAAAACATGAATTTAACAACAGTTCACCACCTTTAACAGGGACACGGACTTTGCTAAATCAGATTATGAGAAGAAATGAATTATAAAATAATAATAGGACACAATAAAAGGTCATGAAACTAAAGAAAGGAACTTATCTAGATGTTTTACTGCATCATCTAACCTGTGCTTCATGTTAATTGCACTACAGTTGTTAATGTTCCCATCAGACATGTGAAGGAATATGAAGATTTTATTGTTTCCAGATTAAAATAATAAAGTCAAAGCCTTTTCCAGATTCAGTCAGAAAGAATGGGAAAGGAGTATTTTTAGATTAAAAGAGGGAATAAAAAACAAAACCGGCACATTAATACCCATCATGCCTTGTGTTAATGAAGTACAGAGGTTTTACTTCAGAATAGGTTTTCATGATAAAGACTTTTTAATCCCTAATCTGAATCTGGACCTGAACAGAACCAGTTTAAACTCCCAGCTGTTCCAGCTCCAGGAGGATTAAAGCCAGAATCAGGATCCATCGCATGATTAAACTGTTGTTCAACACCTTCTCCCTCTGTTCTCAACAAAACGTTAACTCAACAGTTTCTTTATCTTCCAGCTGAGAATCAAAATAACTGTTCTTGTTTTTATTCTAAGTGATGAAGAGAGATCAGACAAGGACTATGATTCACTGACGGGATCTGCACGCTCTCTGGATCATCATAATCGAGCAGCGTTTTGCTGACTGGGCGAGTGTTTTGTGTTTTTAATGGACTTATTTTATATACATTACATTTATTAGAACAAATGTGTCAAATATGCAAAGTCCAGTGGAACGTCCCTCTCAGCTCCAACCCTACCTTCTCAGCCTGGGCTTCCAGAGACTTCAAGTTGTTGGTGACATTTTTCAATTCTTCCTCAAGGTCAGCTGATTTACTGAACAACGTAAGAAAGAAGAAAGGAAAAAGCAGAAAAAGGCAGTAATTTGAAAGACAGGAGAGCTCAAAGGTTTAATGAGTCGTCTCAAACATCATGTTAATGATTTATTAGGTTTAGTCCAGAGAAGTAATGGCAGAGAGTTAAACCTGAAGTGGGAATAAGACGGAAAGGGGAGCACAAATAATCCCAGAAATAAATCAACTTCAATTAAAGAAAAGGTTGAGCTCATTAGTGATTTTCTTATGTATTATCTTATATAAGAAATGTGATATATGCACATCTCTTTGCTGGCTCTCGGAAGATCCAAAAAAAAAAAAAAGATTAGAGGGACACAAAGAACATCAGAGGTAAACAGAAAATACTGTGAAAGCTGAGAGTCTGCAGGCCAGAGGAGCACAAAGCAGCAAGAGGGACAGCAAGTACCTCTTCCTCTCCGCACATCATCAGCTTCAGGTTCTGGTCCATCAGTTTGAGCTCCTGCTCAAGCTCCCTCACTCGCCTAAAGTGGTTAGCCCAGAAGACCGTGGTGTGGTGGGGTGAGCCGGAAACCAGCAAAATTGGTGCATTCATGCATTAATGTTGATCAGAAACACACACACATACACACATTCAGGGTGGCTGGTTATGTTCAGCAGGCTATACTGGAGTTAGTGCATCACAGCAAAGTCAAACCACTCAGAAAGCATTCGGTCGTCTGCTAAATAAAAGAGCCAAATGCAGAAACTCGTTCTAAAACATAAGGAACATTTATACTGTTCAATTCTTGCTGTTTACACAAAAAAAGAAAAATAACACAAGAAACTGTAGAAGAGAAGTGTGCAGGGTTTGGGTCCATCCAGGGGCAGAACTGCTGATTAAAATCATATTATGACAGCTCGCCATTTGCACTTTTCAATTGTGAAATATTAATAGTGAACCGTGTTATATATCTGCAGCAGCTGGATGACCCGGTCTGATAAAACACCAGCCAGACACCAACTGTGTGGAGCCAACAGAACCAAACATGTGATTACAGCCATCAGAACCCATAAACGCTGCAGACTTCTGGAGAACTTCAACATGCATTTTTAAACATATATCTAAGTCCTAGTGACCAGGCTGTATTTTCCTCTAGAACATCATATTTATTTTTTGTGAGTGAGTTTCTCATTGCAGGTGTTGACTTACGCCTCAGCCACCTCAGCACGTTCCTCTGAGCGCTCCAGGTCTCCCTCCAGAATCACCAGCTTACGAGCAACCTGCAGAAATGAAATGTAACATGAAAAACTGAAGTAACACACACACCTGTAACTATTATTACCAAGCACTCTGCAGCTTTGCAGCTAAATGCTCTCAGCGGTTCTTTATTCTGTTTTGCAGAGATCTCCGGTCTGTTCTGGTTTTTATGGTTCTGGCAGCAGGGGGTCAAACAGCTTCCTGCCCAGGGTGCGATAAGTTCTGGGCTTTTCTGAGGCAGACGGAACTGTGTGGTCATGCAGATCCCCCTGAAAACCTTCAGAAAGGGAAGTCTTGGCTGTAGTCTTGTCTGTGTCCAGGAGCGTCATCAAACCCTCCACCCTGCAGGTGGACTCAGCCCACCAGAACTCTGAATGGGGTCAGACAACACCCTGAAACCCTGTCTGGGTCCTACGCACTTCAACAGAAGGAAATTAAAGTTCCTTCCTGGACTTTTTTTTTATATCTGATCTGTAACAGGGTCAGTCAGAGCTGAGAGGTTTGGTTCAGAGCCTTGACTTTAATCCATCAGCAGTTTTTAATTGTTCAGGTTTGGAGTGGACATGTGACCAGAACCCCTCACACCAGGTCAGTCAACAGCTGGTTACTGCTGGAGATGAGTTTAGGAGGATCCAAA